TGACCATCTCAATATTTAATTTCATTAAAAGCAATCCTATATAAGGCATTAGTCTCAATCACTTTTCAGGGCTTCAAATCTCACATGGAACAGAACTAGCCTTCAATCTATTTATAAGAATAAGAGTTTAAAAGAATAAACAAATTCTGATGAAAAACTTTAAAAGTTTAGGACGAAAGACAAAGTATAAGAATTTACAATCATTTATTTTTATTTTTCAAAAATTTTTAAATGTTTATTTTTGAGAGAGAGAGAAAAACAGAACACAAGTGGGGGAGGGGCAGAGAGAGAGGGAGACACAAAATCCAAAGCAGGCTCCAGGCTCTGAGCTGTCAGCACAAAACCTGACTTGGGGCTCAAACTCACGAACCACGAGATCCTGACCTGAGCCGAAGTGGGACACTTAACCGACTTGGCCACCCAGGTGCCCCTACAATCATTTAAATCAGAGTACCCAACTTGTTCACCAGCAAGAGATTTCCCTCTATTTCTTTCATAAATATGTAGTGAATACATAGAAGTCCATGCACTTTTCAGTCATATTAATAAGCCCTAAATTCATACTTTTTGATTTGAAATTTAGAATATATGAATAGGTCAACTGTGGTAGAAACTTTAAAAAAAGTTTTTTTTTTTTTAACATTTATTTATTTTTGAGAAGACAGAGAGAGACAGTGTGAACAGGGGAAAGGCAGAGAAAGAGAGAGGCACAGAATCTGAGGCAGATTCCAGGCTCTGAGCTGTCAGCACAGAGCCCGACATGGGGCTCAAACTCACAAACCGTGAGATCATGACCTGAGCTGAAGTCGGACACTTAACTGACTAAGCCACCCAGGTGCCCCAACTGTGGTAGAAATTTAAAAGTATTTTTCCATAAAGCATTATCAACAACTAGACAAAAGATTAAACTAAGGTTCCCAAACCTGTTTCTGTAGTTGAGTGTGATTATCATATTATAGTGGTAATTTCCTTATCAAGATAATTAAATGTTTCAACATGTGTTGGCCATCAAAGAGGTATTGGACAATATAAAAGTATATGCTACTTGGAGAGCCTGGGTGGCTCAGTCCGTTAAGTCCGGCTTCGACTCAGGTCATGATCTCCCATTCACGGGTTCGAGCCTGCTTTGAGCTCTGTGCCGACAGCTCAGAGCCTGAAGCCTACTTCAGATTCTGTGCCTCACTCTCTCTGCCCATCCCCCCCACCCTCAAAAATAAATAAACATTAAAGAAAAAACAAAACAAAACTCTGCTTATATAATGGATTTAGCCAACCTGGACACAATGTGTGCTACGAAAAATTAAATCAAACAGATTTTGCTTTAAATGTTTCTAATATGCTACCACCGAGGAGCATGGTGTTTATGTAGGAATATATTTTATGTAAAAGTATGCACTCATTGCTCAGTGTCCATTTGCAAACTACAAGTCATTATGTCTCCAAATGAGGTCTTCAGTTATGAAATGCAGTAAAAATAAAAGATATTGTCGGGGCGCCTGGGTGGCTTAGTCGGTTGAGCGTCCGACTTTCGCTTAGGTCATGATCTCGGGTTCGTGGGTTCGAGCCCCGCATCAGGCTCTGTGCTGACTGTGTGACTCCCTCTCTCTCTGACCCTCCCCTGCTCACGTTGTCTCTCTCTCTCTCTCCTAGAAATAAAACATTAAAAAAAAAAAGATATTGTCATGGAATTCAAATCTTCTTAACACCATATGTAAACCACCGGAAGTGTGTGTGTGTGTGTGTGTGTGTGTGTGTGTGTGTGTGAGAATCTCAGAGACAAAATCACATTTTCTAAGCTCCTAGACATTTCATGACACTTTTTTAGTCTGAAGCAAAACAAACACAAGCACAAGAAAAATTTAAATTAATAACAAGCAAACCTAATCTACGTTCTATCACAGCAAATACTTCTGTCAGTTTTGTCTGTTACATCCCCAGCGCCTAATGCAGCACAGGAGTCAGCAGGTGTATTACAAATATTTGCTGAATGACTGAATGAAAACTATTCCTGGGTGTGTGTGTCCAGGACTATTCTCAATGCTTTACACTCATTATCTCATTGAATCATCACAACTTTATAAAACAGGTACTATCATAATCACCATTTATAGAAAAGGACATTAAGGCAACAAAATGGTTAAGCTCAGAATCATATTGCTTACCATGGTACGGTAGGGATAAAAAATAAAATCTATTAAAATCGAATAGAAAAACATCACTATTATATTCCTCCCCCGCAAAAAAAGGTAAAATATCTATTTGGAATTTGTCTAAGATTTCGTACTACATTTTTGGAGGGACATAAAGACCTCTGTCCAAATCTAAACAACATGCTTTAACATGAACTAATACTTGTTAGATGCGAATCAGTGTTGAGAATCTACCATGTGCTTGGCTGGTCTGGAACCTCATGAATAAAACAGAAGTATATGTCATAAACCTTGTCTTCAATAAGTTTTACATATCATTACCTTAATCAAACACGGTAGATTTTTGAATTAAATGAATTAAAAAAAATAAATAAATAACGATACTTTCCAGAAAGTACTTCACTGCATGTTATCCCAGGAAACAAACCTGAAGAAAATCAAAGTAGTTTACCTGGTTCAGTAAGTAGAGAATCTTTGTAAGAATATGTAAACATCTTCTTGGATTGATGGGTGTTTCATTGAATATGCGAGCCTATGGGGACAAAAAGCATTGTAATACTAGTAAAATTGCTATCATTTCTATCCCAGATTGCAAAAAATCAACTGTAATCAAATAAACATATTCTAATAAACATAAAATATAGTTCAATCACAATATCCAAATAATGTTAGTTGTTTACAGTTTTCAATTTGTCATAGTATATGATACATTATTAGGTATGGTCTTGATATTCTATTCTACACTAACTCCTTCCCTTAGACCTAGTACTTCAACTTTATGGGTTTTATGTGTTAAGTAGGATCACAGTATTTAACTATATCATTTGAAGACAGTTTAATGTCTACAACTTCCTTCAGTAACCTTGCACTATACACCTCTTTAGCATTTTACTTAAAACTATCACCATATAGCAGAGTCTACATGCTTTTGCATTTGTATAAATTCTAGACCTGCCAGTGATAAATAACCCCTCTTCCTTTTCCCTCTGAACACAGTTATCACATTCCTCAGTTCTTATTTTGGATCATAGTATTCGAGGGGCTCTCTCCCCACCATCTAAAATGGAATAGAAAAAGAAAGAACACAGGGTGCCGGCTCAGGTCATGATCTTGGGGCTTATGAATCTGAGCCGCCCATGGGGTTCTCTGCTGTCATCACAGAACCCACTTCAGATCCTCTGCCCGCCCCCCCCACCCTTCCCCTGCTTGCACACTCTCTCTCTCAAAAATAAACTTAAAAAAAACACAATGAACACAATATACTTCCAAGTCATACCTCCTGTAAGACAGCACTCTTCTCCAGATGCCGAAAGGGATTGGAGCCACTACCTATATTATAAACAAAAAATGTCTTTAATAGCTGTCCTGGACACACTCGTTATCTACAGAAGGGTATTGATTGCTTGGGATATCTCACCTAAGTGAAGTGACCATTTGGAGATTACAGTGACAATCATTACCATTCTGCATATAAGTTGAATAAAATCATTTTGATTCTGGTACTAGCTGTCATTGCTATCCTTATAAGATCTTGTACTTCTCTTTTGCAGGAACTCTGCCCAAAATGGAGTGTCTTCTTTCCTTGTCCTCTTTTTACGTGAATGATACAAATAAATGTCATGTGCACACAACTAAGATTAATGAGATTGGGGCAGGGCCCTTTGGATTTTCCTAAAGGCAAGCACTATCTTCGGTGTTTCCAACAATTATTGCGAGGCAGAAAAGAGTTTAGCAAAGAAGCCTATAAAGCTGGAAGGGGCCATGGAGATTTACTAACCCAAATCTCTACCACACCATGGGAGAACACCAAACACTGAGGGCTTTGGGTTTAGAGATTTAGGGGGGGTTGTTGTTGTTTTTAGGTGGCTTGACATCTTCCCCATTTGCTCCGGACCAAAGACCGGTATCAAGAACGCAAATGACTTTTGGATGCCTGAGCATTAAAAGACCTATATACCATGGGACAGTCTTAACCCCCATGGTTAAGACTGGAAGGTACAAGGCGCCTCCAAGTTCATACACACACAGGTCCCATCGAGCCCAGACCCACTCGGGGCCTCCCACTACCAGGGCCCCCCGCCTCGCACACGCGCGCACCCACTCCCTCCGCCACGCGCCGTGGGCCCGCCTTCTCTGCGGGCAGCCCACCCCGGGCGAGCGCGGCGGAGGCGGCTCCGAGGGGCTGCGCCCAGGGGAGGGGGCGGGAGCGGGGGGCGGGGCCGCCGAGCAGCCCGAGCGGCGCGCGGGCGCGGGGCGGGAGCGCGCGACCCGAGGGGAGGCTCCGGGGCCCGGGGGAGGGGCTAGGGGCAGGCCCCCGGCTGCAGCCAAGCGAAGCCGGGCGGAGGGAGGGGCGGGCTCCAACTCCGGCCCCCTGGCACACCGGCGCCCACGCCTTCGGGTCCGCGGCCCCCAAGAGCAGGTGGCGGCGGGCGAGGAAGGGGCCCCCGCGGCTGAGGGTGGGCGTCAGAAGCCCAGCGCGTACCAGACTCCTCGTCCTTCTTGTCGAATTTTTTAATCATCTTGGACGACTTCCCAGCGCCCAGACCCACCGCAACCGTCCCAGGCGCCGCAGCCGGCGAGCGGAAGAGGCTGCAGGAAGGCCAGCCCCGTGCTCTGGCGCCGGTTGGGTCGCCGTCCCGTCACTCGGGGAGAAGGCCCGCCCTTCCCCAGCTGTCGCGGCCGCTCTCGTCCCCAGGGGACGCGGCCACGCCCTCTCCTCCTCCCCCAGCCGGGCGGAGGCGGGGCCAGGCTCTAGGCCCCCGGGGCTGCGTCCTGGCCCCTAAAGCAAAGGGTCGCAGCCAGGGTGAGTCCAGGCCCACCCAGCCAGCCACCGGGCGACCCAAGCGCAGAGCAAGCAGAAAGCGATTTTATTTGGTTGGCACGTCGTGGATGGCGACTTCCGCAGGCCCCTTAGTCTCTGGAGGCTGAGGGGAGAGGCCTGGGGGGTTTGTTTTCAGTTGATGACAGTGGCGTTTTTTATAATCCACTGCTGGGCCCTTCCGTTGCGGAAGGCGTTCTCCCCTGGTACAGTTTTGGTGGGTTTCTTCTCCAGGAGAGATGAAAGGGTTAGTGGTTCCCAAATCATCTTGGAAGTCGGCATGTCACTCCCTGACTTGGCGACTGCAACAAAGCACAGGGCACCTTGGTGAATGTGGACATCCCAGAGGATCTGAAAGGACACTCAAAGTGAGGCAAGAAAGAGACCTACTTGGAGCGACCAGAGAGCTGGCCTTTATGTTTAGCAAGAGGGTAAAGTTTGGATCACGTACTACCGCGTCCAACCTTCTTTATAGTTCTGGATCCCTTCCCTTCATCAAAACCGAGTTTAAAACACTGCCAGTTTAGAGTCTTCCCTGTTTCATCCTATCCCCTTTAAATGATTCCATCTGCCACCGGGTTGACACTCAGGTAACTCTTACTAAGGTTCATTCACTTGTATTCATCATATTTTTCTTAGTCTTTTCCTAAAGTGTAGGTGGTTGTCAGTTCTCCCTGGAGTGTAACTAAAAAATGTTCCTACCTTTGGCTTCAGTGTCATCATTTTATCCAGAGTTTCTATCAACGTCTGCCTGTTCTTGGAAGCTTCCATCGCAGGCTCTTCTTGCTTCCATCCCTCCCCATGTTTTGGATGCACTATGCCTTGTAAATATCCCTTGAATCGGTATCCTTATTCCTACTGTGATCACCTTAATTCATGTCCTGTCCCCTCCCTCCTGGATGGCCTTCTAATCAGGCCCCATCCAATTAAGGCCCCATCCAGACTTTCTTTGTGTAATCTTTATTTGGATGCCTCTTAAACATGGAAAGTGATTTGCTATTGGCAGAAGGAGGGGCTGCTGGCCGTCTCTTTTGCGTGAAGTGGAGACTTTGTTTCAACTTCACAGCCACATTCTTTAGGGAAAGCACCACGATGGGCCCTTTAGATACTAAGTAAAGTAAGTATGTGCTCACTTTTCTTGAGGGAAACTAAAGTTACCAGAAATCTAATAATTGCTGCGGACTGAGATATTAAGTGTTCTGTTTAGAAATGTAAATTGGGTAGATCATTAACAGGCAAGAACCTGTTAATGATCTACCCAATTTACATTTTAACTTTTAATTATTATATTTTGACTAAGTGTATGTCAGAACAAAATATAACTAGTATATCAAAACCATGATGTCAATGATATAGTATTAGGACAGGAACACACACACAAAAACAAACGGGCACCTGGATGGCTCAGTTAGTTGAGCATCCAACTCTTGATTTTGGCTCAGGTCATGATCTCACGGTTCCTGGGTTTGAGCCCTGTCTCAGTCACCGCACTGACAGCACTTAGCCTGCTTGGGATTCTCACTCTCTCCCTCTTTCTGCCCTCCTCCCCATCCCCCCAGCTCTCTCAAAATAAACACTTTTAAAAAGAAAACAAAAAACAAAAAACCTTTTAAAGGAAAACATTATATAAGCAACAGGGCCAATAACACATCAGTATAGCCAAAACTATTAGAATGGTAGGTGATGTAGTTGGGAACACCACACTAAAGCTTTCTTGAAATTTACGAGTTTAAACAGGATCCAAAGCCCAGTGCCACCTGGGCCTATTAACAGTTGTTAGCTTCCATACTACAAGGGAAAATAGCCTCCAGAACCTCTTTATCTCTTGTCCCCAAAAGGTTGCCCCCTCCTGCTCACATCTCAGATCTGTAAGACCTTGCTTCGAAAGAAAGCAGCTTACCTTCTTTCTTCCTATCTCTTTCACAGACGGAAGCAAAGTTGAGCTGGGGGTACATTTTTTTCTGTTTCTGCAAAGCATAGACCTTCAAATACTTCCCGTCATTCTTGAAATCATCGTCGGTGGAAAACCTTCACAAAGAAAGCTCATTTAGTAGATCCTAAGGCAGGGGGTTAATGGAACTAGTCAAGAAAGGACCGTGACTAGAGGGTGTTCATTGGTGGGAGTATTGCTCAGTGGAAGGGAAGTTTCTAGAACCTAGCATTGTAAACCCGTGAAGGAACTCCAGAGTCTCTTATCTCTTCCCCAAATTAGATGTGGGCTGCCCCTCTAACTTGTTTCAAATGAACTCTCATAGGACCTTGCTCCTAAGCTACAGCCCTTTACATGCCCTGGAGAAAATTTTGTTCTGTTTCTCTTAGAGCTCTTTGAGTACTTCTTGTCACTCTTGAAAATCAGTTTTAGAGAAAAACCTTAGTTTTGTGTTACTTTCTCTCATTAGGGTCTAAATGAGGATGGGGGTCATGTAGGGAAGTGGTCTCATTAGTATGCAATTACATATATTTCTTACAATCAACAGTTTTTGTTAAATTGTGATGAAAAGAGATAGTAACTTGAATAAGGAAAAGAGAGGAAAGAAAATGTTCACCTAAACCACTGTTCTTGCTTGGATGTAGGATCATCCAGCAAGGTCACAGGAAAGGTTGGTTTCAGCTCAAATCTTGACTTTTTTTTCTGAGACATCAGGGGTAGGCAGGAGTTCTCAGGAGGTTTGTGCTGATAACCTTCCTACAGCAGAGGGAAGAAGAGTAAGTGAAGGAGGAAGCTGAACCCGTGGGACTGAACTAAGTTCCCGGACTGAGCTTCAATTCCTCTAAAATGATGCAACAGACCCTGCCAGAGGGGGCACGTGGGGACTGAAACCAAAAGAAAAGGAAGCCGTTCCCTAAGTGGGCTAAACACTAGACCCCCCCTTATCCATGGAAGATACATTGCAAGACTCCCCGTGGGTGCCTAAAACCATGCAGAGTGCCGAGCCTTAGATATTGACTATATTTTTTCCTATACATACATATTTATGATAATGTTTAATTTATAAATTAGGCACAGTAAGGGATTCATGACAATAACCAATGAGATAGAATAATTATAATGTATTGTGTAACAAAAGTTTCATGAATGTGCTGTCTCTCTCTAAAAATATCGTATTGTACCGACCCTTCTTCCTGTGATGATGTAAGATGATAAAATGCCTACATGAGGAAATGAAATGAAGGAAAGGTGGATGCACTGTGACTTAGCATTAGGCTGCTGTTGAAGGAGGACCATCTGCTTCAGGATCAGCAGCCTCTGTGGGGACTGAGGTTGATTGTGGGTAACTTAAACCCTGGAAAGGTAAACCACAGATAAGGGCTGGGGTGGGAGAGGGGGGTGTGGGAACTGGTGTACCTATTTGCTTTGTTGTCAGAGAACTTGTCCAAAGCTTGGTCAGTTTCTTAAGTAATTGACTGGACTTGCCCAGTGGCCCTTTGAAGTGAATGGCAGAGAAATTTACTTGGTTTTGAGAAGGATTCAATTGGTGAATCCTTTAGGAAGCCAAGCATTTGGTACTAAATTGGGAAATAGATCCATGGGACTATACCTTCCTTTCTCAAAGATGACTGCCTCATTCACATTCCCTTCTCTGTCTGCAGTGAAAAGGTCATGGAATGGGATGTTTTGTAAAGTAATAATTTCACCATTACTAAAGGTCATAGAATCAAAGACTTTCAGAAAAGCTCTTAAAGGTCATTCAGTCTAACCATTCATCCTTATCCCCTCCACAGTATTACTACCAAATGGTCAATCTTCCTACACCTAAAAGCCCTACCTATTTCATCTTTGCTCAGCTGTTGGCTCTCTCCCTGTAACTTTGACCCTGCAGCTCAAACAGAACAAATCCAATGTCTCTTCTGGATTGAACTTGAGGAGATCTGTCACGTCCCTCCTAAGCTTGTTCTCTTCTTTTAGGCTCAACATTGCCAATATATTGAACTTTTCTTCATGTGATATGGTTTTAGGCTCCCTCTTCTCCTGATTTTTCTCATTTGAGAAAATGATCGTTTATAGTCTCCCAAATATGCCACAATCTTGAATGAAAACAATTATGCTAGCAACTGCAGGACACATCCTATTGCCCTGCTAAAGCCTTACTTCAAATGTCATCACCTCTTCCAAGAGCCTTGCCTAACTACACCATCTAAAATCGCCCCCCACACCCATCGTGCTCCATTCCCTTATCCTCCTTGGTCATGGCACTTACACATTATACAGTATCTGTGTGATTGTTTGCTTGCTTATGGTCTGTCTGCCTCACTAGAATTAAACTCCATTCAGGCGGACCTTGGCATACTCACTGATATATCCCTACTACCCATAACAGTGCCTGACATAAAGGAGGTGCTCCATAAATACTAGTCAAATGAATGAAAGAACAAATGAATGACCAGGCGGATTCAACGACACACAGTGAGCTTCTTCTCATAGAATTTTAAAGCCTCTTTTAAAAATCCAAAAACTGGGGAGCCTGGGTGGCTTAGTCGGTTGAGCGTCCGACTTTCGCTTAGGTCATGATCTCGCGGTTCGTGGGTTCGAGCCCCGCGTCGGGCTCTGTGCTGGCTGCCGGCTCAGAGCCTGGAGCCTGTTTCAGTCTGTGACACCCTCTCTCTCTGAACCTCCCCTGCTCACACTGTCTCTCTCTCTACTAGAAATAAATAAAACATTAAAAAAAAAAAAAACCAAAAACTTCCTGTTGAACCATGTCTTTTAAATTCTGTATTTGTTCTCTTTAAGCTCTTCCAGTTTTGAGGAACTTCCATTCACGTTACCTCAACAGATAGAGATTTTACTGTAAACACGCATGTGCTTAGGAACGAAGACATAGCTAATAATCTGGCCACAAAAAGAGAAGAAACTCTGCAGAGCTAGATCTCACAACAGAAAACCAAGAACAGAAAAGTATATAGAATCCAAGACAGTGCTAGCTAAGGTCTACAACAGCATGAGTTTGTGTGCCTTGTTTCTAGCACCGTATCATTAGCCTGTCTCCTACTTTCTTCCTGTCTGCCTCCCTCTCTCTGTGTGTTCATTCCCTACCTTTACTCTGTATCCTTCTATTTTCCTGCAACTTCAACCTGCCCCTCCTCTGCCTTCATGTTCCTGACGCTACCCTCCTTCCCCTCTCACCACCTCCCCCATCAGCTTTCACTCTCACCCCCTCGATCTTCCCCTTTCCCGATCCAGATGCCTGGAAGCAGGATTCTGTTGGCCTGTGGATTTGGGTTGTTGGTAGGTTGGCTAGTTTTGGTGTTGGCTTGGTTACTGGATTTGGAGATTGTGTGCTTTCATTTGGGAGTACCAGTCTACACCACAGGTTACTGATCAGCCTATGAAGTTTGCTTCACTGGCTCTGGTGTCCCCCCCGCCCCCCCGCCCCCCACCTCAGGTCCCAGTCAGTTGTACAAAAGGGGATCTCTCAAAACATCCTTTTCTTCATGGACTATGGTGGAGCCATTTCATTTCCCTTAGAAGGGGCTGTGAGAATAGTGATCACCATGATAGACATGCCATCTCCATTCTTCAACTTGCCTGCTGGAACCCACCATCTTCTAACACACATGTCCTGGTATAGCAAAACAACGCTTCTTTTGGCTCCCTAAAGACTGTCACTCTTGTCAGGCAAGAGAAGGGGGGTGGGGGTTGCAGTATGAACATGAAAGAAGCATTCTAGATATTGGGCATACCCTTCTTGAACTTGACCCAGATAGTCCATAGAAATACCATGGTGTCAGTCTTTGACAATCAGTGCCTTAACCCTGTCTATTAATACAATTTGGCTGGTAGCACAATTTGCTCATGAATATGATCAGGTCCTGCACGTAATTTGCACAAGGTGTTGGGAGAAATCCCGTCTTGCACCAAGTTACATGATAGTCTTGTATATTTCCTTCTATACCTTGAGCAGGACAATCTGGCCTGGCATTTGTGCCCCTCTCAGTGTACGTTACCCACATCACCATGAGAAGTAACCACTGAGTTTAAGTTCAAAGGGCACAGATTCTGAGACTCAAGAGACCATAGGCAAGGGATTAGCTCATTAGCCTATGTGCAGCATATATCATTGCATAGTACCATTTTATTCCCCATTTGGAGAGGAATCTTTTACTGCCATTCATCTAGCAACTAAGGAAATACTAACCTCAAATTCTCCATGCTATATTACAAGGGTCTGTCTTAGGTAATTTCTGTTATAATTAGATTCTTTTGTTTGCACTTTCACTTTATTTAATTTCTTCTTGTTGTATTAGGCCTGCTCTCAAGGCTGTCAAGATCTTTTTTAGATCCCGATTCCTAAATATCTTTTAAATTGATTTTCTTCACTTCCTCTGCTATTAATTTAGTTCAATTCTTCAGCATCTCTCCCCTTAGCTTTTGTAGTAACATCACAACTAATCTTTCTGACTTGCATCTCTTCCACAATGAACACATCTTTCTCCCAACCTCCAAAAAAAAAAAAACGGTTGTTCTAAAAATGCCAATTTGATTATACCTTTTATGTCCTGCCATTTACTCTCTGACATCTCCCTAAATGCACCTCACTTTCTTGTGTCTTCATGTGTCTACCTTTCCCTCTGATGAGGACATTCTCCTCTTTTGTCAAGGATCGTCTCCTCTGTAAAATCTCCCAGATCACTCCCTTTCCTCCGACAAAGATGCTAAACTCTATGTTAGTTCTGTATCTTGCATAGCCTTTTGTTATCCATATATCCTGGCATATTATAATAACTTTTATATTTCTCATTTATTGATCAGTCTCTCCTACCAGTCTCCAAGTTCCTTCAAGATAGAAACTGTCCTGAAAGCATATTTTAGTTCTTTGCTTAGTGTTTGTTCAGCAATTGTTTACCCGATTGAACATGAACTTGTGCAGTGTAGAACCAAGTCCCAAACGTCTGGCTGTTGTGATGGTAAATCCTCTGGTGTGTTCCTCTCCCCTTCCTCTGACACCCAAAAGCCGTGGGCGTAAAGTGTAATCCTTTACCCATTTCCCATTTAGTTATTTCTGTTTTTCATTCTTCATTTCCTGATTTATCCTTTGCTACTTTATACTCAACCAGAAAACCAGTGGCTAGTTCACCTTTGGGTAATTACAAACTAAATGTCTTTGGCCAGGGAGGAACAGTTTCTAATTAGGACCCTCTTTTCTCCACGCAATGAAGTTTCAGGACACAAGCTTGTGCAATTCTGGTTCTGAGCCTTCCCAGGCTCTCCAGATTCTTTGTGTGTAAAATATATGGAAAGGAATAAGGAGGAAGAAGAGGGTTCCTGATACCATCTTCCATGTTCATTTCATTCCCTTCTTCAAGCTACCTCCTCATTCCTCAAGGTGCCAGGAAGCTTCCCAGGTGCCATTACCTTGAGCAGCAATTCCTTGGGAAAGTATTTTGGTGCGATGTTTTTTCCTTGCTGGTCGAATGGGCAGGGAAGTGGATTGTTGGTCAGAATCAGTAAAGTCTTGTCCTGATCATACTCTATTACTTTTAACATGAAGCTTTTGATTTTCCTGTCTCGAGTCAGGAATTTCTGCAGGGCAGTGGGCTTCAAAGGCTCATAGTACTGGGCCTGAGCAACACAGAGGTTTCCAGAAAGACAAAGGGATTAGATCAAGAGAAGATTAATGAATCGATTGCCTGGTTTTCTGCCTCTGTAGGGAAGGGACAGAGGGTGCACAGTGGCTGAACAAATCTGCTCTGAAATTTGTTTTACAGAAAATGGCTGATGCTCTCTGTCCCTCTCTACCCTCAGAACATTCCCCACAAATAGACTAAGGGGCGAGGAAATGAGATGGAAAGGTTCCCACATAAAAGAAGCAAAATGACTTAGTTCTTCTGAAAAAGTGTAACATCGTGCCCAACACCATGAGGCAAAAAGAAACTTCCATGTTAAACCCAAATGACCTTCTCTACAAGTCTGTTTGAGGCAAAGGGAGAGATTGCCGGACACCAAAGCTCCTTCCTTGTTCCGGGAGACCAACACAGCCCCTCTCTACATCTTCCCACTTACCAAGGGTTCTCCACAGGCACAACCACATTAACATGCACAATAAGCATGACCTTGTGGGGGAAAAGCAGTCACAAAAGACTGCGTGTCATTTAAGATGTGGTGGGGGAAGGGACAGTCCCACTAAATTTGCTTTTCCATCCCCAGGAGGGAGGCAGAGGATTGGCGAGGGAGAGAACAGAATACCTCCCATTAGAAATAGGTCTTCTCAGGGCACCCGGGTGGCTTAGTTGGTTAAGCGTCTGACTTTCACCCAGGTCATGATCTCGCGGTTCGTGGGTTCGAGCCCCGCGTCGGGCTCTGTGCTGACTGCCAGCTCAGAGCCTGGAGCCTGTTTCAGTCTGTGACTCCCTCTCTCTCTGACCCTCCCCTGCTCGTGCTGTCTCTCTCTCTCTCTCTCTCTCTCCTAGAAATAAATAAAACATTAAAAAAAAATAGGTCTTCTCAACTTAAAAATAAATCAGCTGCAGCCAACACCTTCTTCCCATTCCCTCCCTTGTCCCTCACTATCACCATACCCGGCACTGCCACTGGCCTGGTGTCCTACGACAGCCCTGCTTTCCTGTCCTAGGAATCTGCGCGGTCACAGAAGCTGGCGGCCCCAGGAGGCATTTGGGATACTCTAGCAGTGGGCCCTGCTGCTGAACCCTTAAGGATCTTGGCGGGGATGAGTGCTTTTTCAACCTACCAAATTTGGATGGACTGTGTATTGCCGAAGATTCTTCAGAACAAATTTTGAATGCCCGACTGCATCAAAAATCTAGAGACAATAATTGAAATCAGTGGTTTCGAGTTGCACCTATCCTAAACAACATTCCATTCCTTACTTCACCTTAGGTTGACTCAAAACCGGTCTCTAATTTAAATTAAGTGAGAAGAACAAAGTACTCCAAGTTTTGTACCCTGGGACTCTGGGGTGCGAGGCACAAGCAAGGAGAGCTAGGTTCAGAGGCATCCTGCCAGGGAAGTTTCTACGTGGAAAATGTGGACCTGCTTTATGAATGTCAGATGAAGCTGTGAAGAGGGAAGTAGGTAAAGGGCAGCATCAAAGTTCAGATGGGGACCAGTCACTCCAAAGGATCATACCTCTTCCTTCTGCCTTTTCCATTTCTACAGGAGTGAAACTCAATGTGGATGACACTCTCTCAGGGAGAAAAGCAAGTTATAAAAAGGCAATAACTGAAGAGTTGTAGTGCAAGGGAGCCCTGGGGATCACTGCCTTCGAGCTGGAAGCAGGCATATAGAGGAAGAGAGAAATAACGGTGCATTTTGCTTTTTTGAATATTTCTACAGCACATGATTCTTCCAGAAGTGTTGGCAAAAAATAACTGAATGTTGGTAATACTTCTGTCCACTTCTTTGCATTTTTCTGCCGGTGGACGTGCTGGTGATTGGAAGACTACTGGAGTGTTGTGTCTGGTGGACGTGCTGGTGATGAGCAGACTGGTGGAGTGCCATGTATGGCTGTACATTTGCCGGGCCTGCTGCATCGCCTTTGCTGACCCTGGTGTTACTGCCTAGCCTCTAGCTCAGCCCTAACTTATCCGAAGATGAGTCAAAAGGATGAGGACAGAAGGAAATAAAAGCTGAGTTACCTCCTTTGGGCTTGGCATAATCAGAAATCAGAAAAAGAGGAGTCACAATCCTGTATTTGGATCAACATTTCCAAGGACTGCCATGCCCGCGAGGAGGTGATATGGTAAGATGAGGCGCAGAGGAAACAGAACGTGCACTGAGAGGTGAGGAAAGCATGAACGTGAATGGGGAAAGAGGGTAGGTGTAAGGATGGGACAGAACTGTGCAACGGGGAAGGTATTATGCCCCTAGAGGAAAATGCCAGAAGCTGGCAATGCCCAGGGGTTGGGGAGGGCTGTGGGATAGAAGGAAGACTATCAGAGCCATCCCATACATTCCATTAGGAACAATGAGAAGAAATAAATCCAAAGATGTAATGATTTAATTTTTGGAGAACTGAAATTCCTTTGTTCAAAACAAGGATACCTTAGGAACAATCCACTTTGGGAACAATCCATTTCACAGAAATGATATATATATTTAGAATCATAGAGATCTCAGGAAAATTTGAGAGAAAGATGTGAAGACTTTTGTAGGTTTTTAAAAATTAACTTTAGGGGAGAAAATCTCTAAAGAAAATGTTTTTACTCTTGAATTTTTCTGAGATATTGCATCTCAGTTCCAAAGGAGTCTACAGCAGTTGACTAAACCCATGGGAGTGTCCAAAGTGGAATATGTTTTTAGTTTTATGTTGAATTACACTATCGTGGCTGGTAAAATAAAAGTTGGCCTGGAAAGTTCACTTGAACATGAAAAACCTGGGGAGGCAACCAAACTACCCAGTGGAGTTTTGCTGCAAGAGGTGGCCATAAAGCCTAGCTAAGTAGGGTTTCTAAGATAGGTTTATGGTCCCTGGCTTCTAGCCCTGATTTGTCACTGATATGTCCCTGCCTCTTTTCTATGTCTCTGTGTCCCTTTCATAAAATTAGGGTAAATTAACCTTGCTCTCTATACAAATATTGACCCCTTCTTGCTTTTCAACAGGAAGTTTGTGAACCCAACTTCTAAAGTACTCAGAGTAACTCCAAAGAAAGACTACACATAAACATTTACTAAGGCCCTTCTTACCTCATCATTATCAATCCCTGTTCCTTTCTCAAGTTTAACTGAGCTGGTTCTTGGAGCCATTGATATACCACGGTGAAACCTGAAAAAGAAGTAGAATAGCTGATTATATTTTCTTACTCAGACACCTGGTCCTTGGCATATTTACAAACTCCCTCAACAAAGTTTGCGAGCCTGACTTAGAAGAGCCCAATTTGGGTGGTCACTAATTAAATACACACGTACAGTAAAGAAATAGGATTTGTTATTATCCAACCTGCATGCTGGGGGGGAAAAGCAAAACTTCAGTTCAAAGAGCTCAGCAACGGGGACCTCTTGGAGATATGATACCTGATAAGTTGAATTCTTCAATAATAGGGGTTTTAGATAGCTTAAGGGAGTGCTCTTGTAGATTGCTTCAGGACATTCTTTTGGGCACCTGGACATTTATAATATCCGTAAAGATGCCCTACTGTTTTGAATACCTACCTGCCTACTCTTCTCCACAGGGAAATGGCTCTACCTTTGCCAATAATTAACTAATGATTCCATGGAAAGGGACATTATTAGTGGAACTTCACAACTAAATTTCTAATTCTTAATGACTATACTTGGATTACTGCTCCCTCTTATACCTAACCATATCCAAGTTTCTCTATCTAGAACTAAGGTGGTAAAAATCATGAGTGGCAAATATTCTCATACTCGTTCTTTCTCTTACTTTCTGATCCCCTACCCAGATACCAGTTCGTTTTGGAGAAAATGGGGAGGGAGGCAGAAGTTGCAATATTTAATAATAAAGTGTTTCAGATTCCATGACTAATTCTACTAAACCCATTTACTGCCTGAACACAGGGAAAGATGCTCATCAATAAGATTGGGTTAATGCTTAAAATAAATGGCCTGCTTCCTCCTTGAAGAGTGTTCCTATTTGGATATAAACTAGCTTTCATTAAGTAGTAGCCTGGCACTGCCTGAAGTAGACCTCTCTCCTCTAAAAATGAGGGTGGCCATGTAAGGACCAAGCTAAGAAAAATAGAAATAGCCAAGCTATGTAGTTGGCAGGTCAACTGCTATAGGATGGTACAAAGCATCCCAAATCCAGGATCAAGTCCCATCCAAGCATAGCTCACTTCCACCTGTTGCTGGCTACCAACTTCCTTAACTCAGGCCAGAGGTCTTAAAAATAGTTTCAAGGGGAGCAGATGACACATTGTGGACAGACCAAAATAAATTCATCTCCACTTGACATCTTAAAGGTGGTACCATTTTTATGTGCCCTACTACCTTAAGTCATCTAATAATAATATACAGTAATCTTCATTTTCACACTTTTAAAAATGATTCTTTATTATCTCAAAGGCAGCACAGGATCCCAGATACTATTCTTTAAGGCCAATTTAAGGCATAGAGCTGTGGGGGAAATTCTCCTTCAGCCCAGCACTGTCCACCAAGGACAGTCTGGTGCTTTACTTTTAACAACTCTATTCTCATTGCTGCATGAAACACAGACTAAGATCTGGTTTTTGATCTGAGGACACCCAATTAAAATATTTTAATGCTTGTTTATTTATTTTGAGAGAGAGAGGGAGAGAGCAGGGGAGGGACAGAGAGAGATGTAGACAGAAATTCCCAAGCAGACTCTGCGCTTTCAGTGCAGAGCCTGACGTAGGGCTTGATCTCACAAACCATGAGGTCATGACCTGAGCCTAAATCAAGAGTTGGATGCTGAACCAACTGACCCACCCAGGTACACCTAAAACATTTTTTAGTGAGGCTACTCTGTGACTGTTCAAAGCGATAAGGACTACAACCAATGTTTGCATAAAATGGTATGTATTTATAAACTAGTTGGACGAACAAAAGTACACACTTGGTTTGTTTCTTTTGGCCCATTGCTGTTCACTGCTAAGTGGGTCAATCCAAGGCAAGTATTCACTCAGAGGCCAAATTCAGGCCTCCAAAGAGTCCAGGTTCTGTGGGGGCTCAATTCAATCCATTCTTTCCTTAGCACACACCATGTGGTCCTGTTCAGAAACAAGAGAAGACCAGTAGGTGCTGTTGTGAATGCAGAAAATGCACAAGACATGATGACATTTGTCCTCACGAACTTAGGTGGTAAATGGTGGAGTGGAAGGGGCAGGGGGAGACAAAGTGACTGTTACATGTGAAATAGTAAGGACAAATACCTGCTAGTATATTAGGTAAGTGATTTCATTTCTCAGGGCCTTGATTTCCTCATTTGTAAAAAATGGAGAGAGTTAACCAAATGATTTAAAGGTGATATTCTAATTCCTTTTGACAGCGCTAAGATTTTCCTACGTAAAGACCTGAAATAAAATTCATTCATGGGTCAGTCGTGGGAGAAAGTTGGAGAGCAGCCATGCTTTAATTTACATCCCCTTTCAATACAACCACACTCCCATAAGTTAGGTCTATAAAACTGGGCAAAGTGTGTGTATATGTTGGTGTGGGGAGGGGGTGGCAGGAAGTCTAAACGCTGATGGTGTGCAAGCCACCATTTAGAGAGGAGAGGTCAGCAAGGCCCATGGGGATGCTTCCTAAAGGATGTAGAGCTTGAGCTGGGCCTTGTAAGATGGTGCATGAAGTTGCATAACTGGAAGATATTTGTTGTTTAAGTAGCAAGACCTAAAAGTGGATAGGTGGGAGGGATCAAATCATGGGGGTCTTGGCAATGAAGGAGGAACTTTGATAAGGCCTTTCAGCCCAAGCTCCTATAGAGCCTGTGGGTTTGGAGGAAAGTGTTAGTGTCTGTGTTAGTGTTGATAGTGTCAATAAGTGATTGTTTAAGGTTTATATCTAGTTTGATTGTCTAGACATAAACCCTAAAGACAATTGTCTAGAGTTTATGACTAGACTGAGCTAAACTCTGAAATTTTCCTCAAGGGTAATAGACTAATGAGCTTTTCACCCTTTTCTCACCCTTTAATTTACCGGAATCATGAGTCCAGTTCATGTGGATACTGAAACTAAAATAAATAGAAGCCACCAAACTGGGAGGTACAAATCTTTGACTGTCTTTCTGTAACCCAGGGTGGAAAAAAACAAAATCACACAAACACAAAAACAACACCCGGACTAAGAATGGAAAGATCTGAAGTACAATACCTTGAAGGACATCAGGAAACCTTAGTTCAATGAGGAAGGAGAGAGTCCTTGGCAATGAAAACTTCCATTTTGAAAGCATCTTATTCTTTTCTTGATTCTGGAGGAGACACAGGAATTTGTGATGAACAGGCAATCTAGAATGCTTGGGTGTTCTATGTTGGAGTGAGCACAGAGACATCGACAAAATCTACTCCAATCTGCTCCAATTTGTTTTTCCCACATATGACTTCCCTTATACACACAGTGACCTTGTCACCATATCCTAACTTCTACCTTATTTTTTTAATGTTTATTTTGAGAGAGAGAGAAAGAAAGGGAGAACATGGGAGGGGCAGAGAGAGAGGGAGAGAGAGAACCCCAAGCAAGCTCTGTGCTTTCAACACAGAGCCCAATGGAGGACTCAATCCCACAAACTGTGAGATCATGACCTGAGATAAAATCTAGAGTCTGACACTTAACTGACTGAGCCACCCAGGCGCCCCAATCAACCTCTACTTTTGCAAATGTTTTCACCCTATTTCTCAAATAGTGACCTTTTTATCTTATTCCCCATACTTAAAACACTCCCCACATCTTCAAACCATTTGGATCTTCTTCTTTCTTTATGTTACTACTGAGGTCTTTCCTCTTCAGAGAAGACTTCCCAGATCAATCCAATCCCAAACTCTAGCCTGCAGGCGCTGCTTTTTGTGCATGCAATTATATAGTGTCTTGTAGTTTTATCTTTACTTTTCTTCTGTGCAGGTACTGTTTGCCTCCTAGGCAGTAAGCTCCCTGAACGTATGTGAATTTTATGTATATTTGTTCCCCCCACATCCCCCACTACCACCGTGTTTTGTATACTGGGCATTCAAAATCAACATTTATTTCCATATGTTTACTGACAATTTATGACATGTTAAGCACCATCCTAGGCAATGAGAACCAAACATAAATCCTAGTCCCTGACCTCAAGGAGCTCACAGTTTAGCCAGGAGGAGAGACAAAGAAAGAGCTCAATTTAACAGATTGCAATGTGTATATCAGAGATCTGTTCAGGATGCTGTTGAATCAAAGAGGAAGAACACTAAACCCTGGGAGACATTTGGAACTAACACTTAAACTGATCCTGGAAAGGTGAGTACAAATAGCTTATGCCTGGAACCTAAGATTTAACAGAAAAGCAGCACAAGATAAGACTAGAAAGGAAGCCAGGGTTCAAATCCTAGAGTGTAGTCCCCGGTAGAAGCTTGTAGGTTACTCTATGAGAAACAAAGAGCTATCGAGGGATTATAAGTTGGGAGATACATTAAATAATACATATTTTAGAAATATGAAAATGGTGGCAGTGTGACCTATGTATTGGAAGGGGACAGAGGCCTTTGAGAAGGCTATGGTACTAAGGAAGCAGTGAGAAATTAAAAGGGTCACAAATTTGTGCTACTCTCCTCTGTCTCCCAGCCCTGGATGACCTATTCAAAGATGGCCAATCATATTCTCTTGACCAGAGATTTTAGAGTTTGATAAAGACACAGAGAGATGAGAGATGATTGTAGCTGAATTGTCGTGTGCAGTGTCCCAGGCAGAAGGGCTAAGCCCCACATACTGAGGACCCCAGAGCCGCTGCAGATCTAGCCCTCCTTGAAGCATGGTTATTCAGTTTTCCCTTCAACCTGGGAGCCTTCCCAATAGCTTTTCATATACTACCTTCCTCTCCCCCCCCCCACCTTCTTTTTTCCCCTGAAACTAGCCAGAGTTTATTTCTGTTGTTTGCAATCAAAACAAAACAAAAACAACCACCTAAACTGATGGAGGCTCTAAAACTGGTGAGCAGCAGTGAAGAGGGATAAATGAAGGATCTTTGAAAGATGTTAGGAAGGTAGAATCAATAGCGCTTGTTAACCAATTGGATCCACAGGCTGATGGATATAGTCACATGGTTAGCTTGGTTACTTGAGTGGATACAGGTGCAAGGTACTAAGAAAATAAGGAAGATAGGGTGAATTTGGAGGATAAAATGATGATTTTTGGTTTTGGTTGGTTAAATAGGAGGTGCAGGCAGGGACTTTGTCTCATAAATGGTTTAAAATAGGCTCTGGAGCAAGAGAGAGAGAGAGAGAGGGGGGGGGGTTTGGGATAGAGTTACCCATTTGGGAGCCAGCCTCAAGTATATGTGCCAGTGAAAGCCACTGGAGTAGATGCGATCAAGCAGGAGAAATGACGAAGTGAAGACCCAAAGGCACAAGACAGAGCCCCGGGCGATACAAACACCAAACAAAGAGCGTCCTCAGCAGATGTATAGAGAACACTGAAAAGGAGGGGCCAGAGGTTGGAGGATAACCAGGAACAGAAATCTTGGAAAGAGAGGACACCATGAAAAAAGGAGAGCCTGTACCTTACCCCAGCATTGAAATTGCAACTTTTGAAGGTGATGCAGAAAGCGATTTTTAAAGCTTACAAAAGTTGTCAAAGCTTAATAAACGATCCAGTGCTACTGACTGTAAGGGGGATACATCTAGACTGAAAGTACCTACTAAGCTTGAGTTCGTGGCAGAGCCAGGATTTGCTTGAGCAAAGGGAGACGAAAGAAGACAATGTGAGTGTGTCACATGTTCTCCACTCATGACCTTCTGTTTCAGACGCAGGGGCTCTATCAACCAAAACTTAGGTCAATTGTCCCTTTTTACTGCTTCTTGGGTGTCGACCTATGATGGGACCTGAGAGTGGGTCCCTCATCCCTTCATCTCCATAGCTTTTCACATCCAGATGGAGGCCTCACAGACCAGGGAACATCTGGGTATTGAGGATGGCGTACTGGGGTGGCACAGGGCATCCTGGGAGATGGGACCTGAGGAGCAATGAGCAGTGAGTGATGGCACAAGGCTGGAAGAACTCTTTGTGGAACCTTTTTCTTGCTCTCCTCCTATTTCGAACTGCTTATAAAATAGAAACATCTACCCCCTTGAAAGTAAAAGTAGCGGCAGATAGTGCTGAGTAAGGGGAACTTATCTCATTCTTGGCTCTTCCTTTCATAAACAGCCTGCCGGCAACATGTGGTAAATGATCTGGGGAGGCTTTTCCTTGTCAGGAGGCACTTACAGTTTATCAGTGACTAGATATGTCTTTTTAGTTCAGAGGGAGGTGTTACGAAGCCAAATTTCTATGTAGACTAGCTTCTAGCAAACAGACCAACAAACAAAAAGCATGAAAGTTTGAACTCATCAGATTCCTGCCTGTTTTCATTAACTGCTTCAGGATGTGTAGGAAGAGATATTTGGTACCTCAACTGTTTCAACACCCTGTGGCTGCAATAAACGCCATAGCTGTAGCCTTAGTGTCCTACATTGGTACAGATACCCGAGAACCAAGAAATAGGGGGTTCAGAAAGTTATCTCCTTAGCAAAGCAAAAATGAAAGCCTGTGAGAAACTGGAGACTAGGCAGGGAGTTTTGCCTGGCAACCTGTCTCCCATCCGTGGGCAGAGCGGGACTGGGATTTATAAATTCATTCATCCCTGCTTTGGCCAACACCAAATCTGAACAGAACTAGCATTATTCAGAGATGAATGAATGGAAAATGATTTTCAGAGCTAACGAATTTTATGAGGAGGAGAATGTAGCAGCAGTAATAGCCACACTGGCTCAAATAGGGAGCTAAGAAAGACTGCCAAAAATGGAGAAATGTAAAGAAGAGGAGGAAATTGGGAATCTGGAAAATACAAGGCCATGAAATTTGTTTGTAGATCTATTAAAAACATGGGGATGTCTATACTACCCAAAGCAAGCTACAGATTTAATGCAATCCCTATCAAAATACCAACAGCATTTTTTTTTAACAGAACTGGAAAAAATAAAAAAATTTGCATGGAACCACAAAAGACCCCAAATAGCCAAAACAGTGTTGAAAAAGAAAAACAAAG